TATTCTATTCTATTCTATTCTATTCTATTCTATTCTATTCTATTCTACTCTACTCTACTCTACCCTACCCTACCCTACCCTACCCTACCCTATACTCTATTCTATTCTATTCTATTCTATTCTATTCTATTCTATTCTATTCTATTCTATTCTATTCTATTCTACTCTTCTCTTCTCTTCTCTACTCTACTCTACTCTACTCTATTCTACTATACACTACTCTACTCTATATTCTATTCTATTCTACTCTATTCTATTCTACTCTACTCTATTCTACTCTACTGTATTCTACTCTACTCTATATTTTATTCTACTCTACTCTACTCTACTCTACTCTACTCTACTCTACTCTATTCTTTATTCTAAACAGCCCAAGTAAAGAATCTCCAAGATCACTTCCACCAACATTGACAGTGCACGCCATTAAAATATAAATTGAGAGCAAATCTGACTCCTTACTAGCATGGATATTACCTAGTTTGAATCCTAAAACATCAGCGAGAAAACCACCAAGCTCACAGAGCACCAAAGACCTCTCATCTTCAAGCCTGAGTCACAAATATTCTCCTTTAGATGTACAAATGGATCATCAAACACCTTTAATGCAGTGTTCACATCACTAAGAATCAACAATTATTTGATGGCACATCAATCAATCAAAATTAATGTTAATGGCCCTTCTTTAGAGAATATAATTTTTTAAAGTATAGTTTAACTGATATCTCCTGGGATCCGGCAAAAGCTGTACATTAAATCTTAAAATACCTGGGAAATTTGCCCATAAAACCCACAATTAATTTCTGTCCCATTTCTTTTGTGACCTTCTTCAACAAGATATGGTGTTCTATGTATATCGGGATGAATTACTTCGTATTTTCACTCCTACAGACACACATCTAGATCAAATATAAATTATTCTTTCAGATACTCATTAAAAACGGGCTATTCAACCTGGAGTTTGCTAATGTTTTCAGGCTACAAAAATGTTTAAAATAGAATATATACCTGCGCCAATAATTTAAAAGCCTCCTCATTAGAAAGTGAGCTCCCCGAAGGAAAGGCAGATGAAAAAAAAATTGGATGCTTTAATACTTAAGGGATAAATTATTGTTAAAGTTAATGCTTTACTTTGAATCAGAACCTCGTATTGTGCAGGGTAAAGGTGGCTACATTTTCCTGAATTATTTTGTCATCAAATGTTAATCTTATACCATGTCACTTGTGTGAAAAGTCTCTCTTTCTTTTTATGGGCTATACCAGTGATGGGTAACCATTTTGGACTCTGGTGCCAAAAATTGTGTGCACGCTTGCGTGCGCGCAGGCCAACACCAAAAGGCAATGTGTGCCCTCCCGCACGCCCCCTGCGCATGCATGCGCAATTCCCTCCGCCCCCCCTTATCTACAGTGCACCCCCCATCTGATTTTCGGCCCATTTGAGGCCTTTTTCGGCTTCCCAGAGGTTTGAGGAAAACTTCTGCAGCCTTTGCCGGCCAAAAAATGGGCCCGTTTCGCCATTTTGGGTATTTCCGGAAATACAGGAAGTGATGAAATGGGCCTATTTTTCGGCCTGCAAAGGCTTTCCTCAAGCCTCTGGGAGGACGAAAATCATTTGGGAGGTGTGCGCATGCACAGTGAAGTAAGTTTAAGTGAATTTTGCCCCATTCTACAACCTTTCTTGCTGCCATTGTTAAGTAAATCATTGCGGTTGTTAAATTAGTAACACAGTGGTTAAGTAAATTTGGCTTCGAAATTTCTGTTGCTAAGTGAAACATTTGTTACGTGAATTTTGCACCATTTTACAACCTTTCTTGATACCGTTGTTAAATGAATCACTGCAGTTATTCCATTAGTAACATGGATGTTGAGTAAATATGGCTTCCCCGCTGTCTTTGTTTGTAAGAGGGTCACAAAAGGAGACCACACAACCCCTGGACACTGCAACCATCATAAATATGCCAATTTTGATCGCGTCACCACAGGATGGCTGGAACAGTTGTAAGTGTGAAAAATGGTCATAAGTCACTTTTTCCACTGCCGTTGTAACTTTGAATGGTTACTAAATGAAAATAAAGGATTGCCTGTAATCAGTCACTACTTACATTTCTTGTCTAGGTGGGGGCTAAGCATTCATTGGCATAAGTTTCGCTCTAGTTTAAATTGCTGACATACAATTTGAGTTGAACTTCACTGAGCTTGTCGATCAGAAAGATCGGCAGCCTGGCGGTTCGAATCCCTAGCGCCGTGTAATGGAGTGAGCTCCTGCTCCTTGTCCCAGCTTCTGCCAACCTAGCAGTTCGAAAGCACGTAAAAAAATGCAGGGACCACTTTGGTGGGAAGGGAACAACAGCGTTCCTCTGTGCGCCTTTGGCATTTAGTCATGCTGGCCACATGACCATGGAGACGTCTTCGGACAGCGCTGGCTCTTCGGTTTTGTAACGGAGATGAGCACTGCCCCCTAGAGTCGGGAATGACTAGCACATATGTGCAAGGGGAACCTTTACCTTCCCTCTCACCTTTACCTTTACAATTGTAGACTGTTATCATGGGAATGGAGACATCTTAAAAAAAAAAAAAGGAGGAGACATCATTTTGCACAACTTCCTTTCCTGATGGTGGCACCCAAATGTCATAAACCTTAATTGAAATTGACTCAGGATGTAGTGGGAAGAGACTAACATCAAATCAACATCCCCTTCCTTTTTGTGACATGTTTTTGAAGCGTGCCCTTCTTTCTCTCATGAATATTCTAGGCTTGGCATCGTGTTAGCCTGAGGAACGCCGCATGAGTCACCGTCGTCTTGGCGCCCAACTTTCACGCTGCCGAATGAGAACTCCGACAGTCTTCAATGGTGCAGAGTTGATTTCTTGCATTCCAAATGCGAGCTCTAGACGCTCAGAGGAAAGGGGCCCTTTAAATTCATTCACTCCAGACTCAATAAAATAAAATAAAATGATAAAGCCACAGAGTCTTGGCAAGGAGAGAAAGGTGACGGGGGGAAAGGAGATTTCCACATTGCAATTCTGTGTTGCAATTCTTGTACTTTGGTTCTCATCAGACCATTCCCATTGTATTAACTGTATTGGTTAAATAATACCTCCTAAACTCAATTATCCTAGCACCGAGAGAGGACGAACGGACTCCTTCTTTGGGAAACTCAGGAAAGGGGACAGGGGGAAAAAAGGTGGAGGAGCCAAAATGGAAAAAGTAGGCAGAGTTTGATTGTTAGGAATGCAGTAAGTGCTTTAAATTGGGGCGGACAATCTTGGTTTTCTTCTCTCTGTGGTTGAATGCCCTAGGTCAAATCTCTTCAAAGGCATCTGAATGACAGGAAAAATCATTGGTGGTTGAAAAAAGTATAGCAGCTGTGATATGGTTAAAGCTCCACCCCCTTTTCAGGTACAACAAGGGCTGGTTTTCAATCATATATTTGAGGGCACCATCTTGATTTATATGAGTCTTTCTTCCTTGGACTTCTTTGCTTGTATCGTTTTTTGTTTTTGTTTTTGAAACCACAGCAAGAGCTTTCTTGTGAAATTACCTGTTTAATCAGATGCAGTCTGTAAGAAGAACACTATGAATGAAGCTTTTGGGGTCTTATATAATATGCCCGCCCATAGTTCTTTCACTTATTTGCATTTTTATTTAACGTTCAGGTGGGAAACGAAGGAAATAACCGAGAGAAGCTTTCTTGAGAGTGAGGATGAAGTTTAGCCAATTTAGTCTGACGAGGAGGTTATTTTGCGCAAGATTATCATCAAATCTGCACAGGTAGATTTACTGCTAGGAAAAAAGGGATTAGGTTGAAAAATCTTGAAAACTGGGTATGTGTGTCAGGTTTTGGTTTTTTTTAGTGAGTATCTTGGTGGGGATTCTTGATCTTCTTTCTAACCATGCCTTGGTTTAATGGGGAAGGGATTGATAACCTCATCGATAGCACAAAAATATCCATCGGTTCTTGCTCTGCAATGTTCTGGAACTAGCCATATTTCTTCCTGGGCTTTGTGAAGTCCATCAAAACACACCCCTGATGTACCTCTCCCTTGATACCCTCAAAGAGTGGAGAATTTCTCAGAAATATCACTCGAAATACTTGGCAGAACTATATATCCCTTTTACCCAACCGTATTCCTCTTTGGATAGTCAGATAAGCAGCATATAAATTTAATAAGAAATGAAATCGATAATTCTGGGATCTTCTTAAAAGTTGTGACAATGGGCTCATATGTCGACTCATAAAATATTTCTGTGGTCTTTTTAGAGTTGCCAACAGAAAGGGAGGGGGGAGCAGTGCAGCAGCTTGCAAACCAAAACTGCATTCCATAAATGTTTTCAAAGATAGTAACTAGGTGACCGAAGTTTCTGCCATGCAAAATTCTAACTTGAGAGCATGATTGATGACTCTGGGCTATGGATGTGTCCCATTGGAGAATATGAATTACATATGATACACTGAGGGGGGTGGGGGGAAAACCAGGGTCAAGGGTGACAATGAATGATGGTCTCAGAGTCAACTACACCCAGGCAGTGCCGGCATGTTCACTCCCAATAAATCTTTTTGAAGTTTGGCTCGAGACTCATGATTTAAATGGGGGTAATTGTCGGAATCCTGACATCATAGTCGTGTGACAGGAGCGAGCTTCTGATTATGTCACATCATTCAATACTGAACCCCCCCCAAACCAACCATTGAGATCATAACTGTGCGTAGCCTATACAAATGCAGCTGTCCTATCTTCAACTTGTAGTTTACCACCATAAAACTACCTCTGATTCATTTAGTCCTCTGAAAGTCTATGAAAATATATATATATAATTACAGGTAGTCCTCAACTTACAACAGTTCATTTAGTGACCATTCAAAGTTACAACGGCACTGAAAAAAGTGATTTATGACCAGTTTTCACACTTGCCAACCATTGTAGCATCCCCACGTGATCCCTCCCGTGATCAAAATTTACAACTGATTCATATTTAAGATGGTTTCCGTGTCTCAGGTGGATGTGATCAACTTTTGCAAACTTCTGGCAAGCCAAGTCAATGGGGAAGCCAGATTTACTTCACAACCACGACAAGAAATGTGAAACGGGGCAAAACCTCATGTAAACAACTCTTTCGCTTAGCTATGGGAATTTGGGGCACAACTGTGGCCATAAGTTGAGGACTACCTGGCGCGGCAAAATGTGGAAATATCCTCAAGGAAAGATTTAGCCAGAAAGGCATGCAATTCTCTATCACTGCTAGACCGGAATGCAGAATTAGATAAGCAGCTGTCTTGCCTGCAAATTAAATCTCCAGACTTGCTTATAGAATTAATTGCTTTGTCAGACTGAGAACAGTCTGGAAAGAGGCTTTAAGGGGCACTGTGGATTGCACTGAATTTTGTATTTTATTTCATTCTATTTTTTTTCTTTCAGCTGTGGCAGACGTTATTCAGCCATCCAGCATAACCTGGGGCTGAGTGAAGGTTTTACATAGGGATCACAGGTGGTATTCAGCCAGTTCTGACAGGTTCTGGAGAACTGGTAGAGGAAATTTTGAGTAGTTCGGAGAACCGGCAAATCCCGCCTCTGACTGGCCCCCCCCCCACATCAATTCTCTGCCTCCCATTGAGTCCCAGCTGATTGGCTGGGTCTTCTTTGGTTGTCCTACACAGGAGAACGGAGCTGGAAAGCAGGTTAGTGTGTGGGGGGGGAGGGAATGGAGATTTTGCAGTATCCTTCCCCTGCCATGCCCACCAAGCCCTGCCCACAGAACCCATAGTAAAAAAATTTGAATCCTACCACTGATGGGGAGGTGGATTTTGCTTAGCTCACCTTTTTAAAAGCTAAGCCTTGTAAACTTTGTTCATACTTAATCACCTGAGTCAGTATTTTATTCGAACCCATCTTCTCTAACACTCTGTTAGTGTGTTAGTACTATGAACCTGTCTGTATTAAGATTATTAACCCTGTCTCATTCATGTGTGGGACTGTCGATGTCCAACTATCAGCTTAATCATTTGTGAACCGAGTATGTATTAGTTTGTACGGCCTAGGTTGATTCCCAATCTTTTGACCACCTTTGTGAAAAAGGCAGAACAGCTAGCCCCAGAATAGAAAAGGTCAGTTCAGGTATCATAAAATGGAAGTTTGTGAATCAGGATATGAATATCTTGGTGCTTTCGGAAAGTGAGTTCTGCTATTTGTGCTTCCTGCTAACTAACATTCAGGGTTAATCAATCAGAAGGAATTTTCAGGAGCTGCATCTTAGGTCTTGGAATAAGACTTGTTAGCTTAGTTTGTTAGTGTGTTAGTATCAGGCTCATACTAACAGGGCTGTTCTCCCACAGTTTCATCGTTAACATGATTCCGACTAATTTTGAATGATGGTTAATGGGTTTATACCACAGATGCAAAGCGAAGGTTAGCCCAGGTGCCTGCAGGGTCAACGTTCTTACAATAGAGATAATTTTCTATTCATGTAGTTGTCTGGTTGGGCTGTATTCCTTCTTGAAAAAGAAAAAAAAAGGACTATCACACCAATTGGGGGAAATAGATGTTGAACTGGGAGAAATGTTGATATGTTTAAATTTATCTCCTGCCTTTTGTCTAGGACAGGGGTGTCAAACTCAATGAGGCCCATGGGCAGGGGTGGGATTCGACCGGTTCGGACTGGTTCTATAGAACCGGTTGTTAGGATTCTGCGCAGTTTGGAGAACCGGCAAATCGTGTGCCCCTGGCTGGCCCCGCCCCTCCCTGCCCAGTCAGCCCTTATCGCGCATGAACATGCCCGACATCACTGAGTGGGTTCTTCCCTGCCCAGTCACTCCTTAAGGTATTTCTTCCGCCCTCCTGACCATCAGCTGTTCCTATGAACAGCTGTGCTGGGATCCCCCTTGCCCCCCCTCCATATTTTGCCTTCCTGGGCTCCAGGGAAACTTCCTGGCAGGAAAAACGCCCCCCCCAGGAGGCTTCCCTGAGGACCAGAAGGCCCCAAAATGGGGGGAGGGGGGTTTGCTGCAAAAAAAGAAGAAGCCACGCCTACCCAGTCACATGGACACGCCCACCTAGCTACGCCATAGAACCAGTTGTTAAAAAATTTGAATTCCACCCCTGCCCGTGGGCCTGATTTGCCCAATGGGGCCATCCTGGAAACAGTAAACAAAGTGGCCCGTGGTGCCTCTGCCAACAGAAACATGGGGTCTCTATTTTTGCTGGCGGATGGTTTCAGGAGGCCACGGCAGCTGAAAATGGAGCTTGGGAGGGCCACACATAACCCTCCCAACCTCTGTTTTCACTGGCAGGGGGTTGCAGGAGGCTGTGGCAGCCAGAAACGGATCTCAGGTGCCCATTTTTGCTGGCGGAGCGCTTGGGCCGCCACTGGTGCCCCCCACATGAGTGACATTGAGGTGGCCACACCCATCCTGGCCATGCCCCCCCAAAGGTCAAACATAACCCTGATGCGGCCCTCAATGACATTAAGTTTGACATCCCTGCTCTAGGACCTCAAGGTAACTCACTCAGAGATCTTTTGTGTATCCCGACAATAACCAACGTCTCGCGGGAGTCCCTAGGTTGAGAAAGGGGAACCCAGAGAATTTCTAGGAGGGTGATTTGAATCTGGTTTTCCCCAGTCAGAAAGTGCAGCACCATCCCACTCCATTCCACTTGTCCTCTAGATCAGGAGTCCCCAACTCCCGGTCCGTGGACCACAGCACTGAACCACGGCATGCCAGAAACCAGACTGTGGAAACAAGTGAAGCCCCATCTGCGGAATGCAGGCAGCATGCGAAACCATGGCTCCTCCAGTCCGCAGAAAAACCTCTCTCCATGGACTCCATCCCTGGTGCCCACTCCTCTAGATTTCTCTTTCATTTTGACATCAACAATACCAATAGCACTTAGACTTCTATGCCGCTTCACAGTGCTTTACAGCCCTCTCTAAGCCTAAGCAGTTTACAGAGTCAGCCTCTTGCCCTCCAAAATCTGGGTCCTCATTTTACCCACCTTGGAAGGATGGAAGGCTGAGTCAACCTTGAGCCTGGTGAGAATCAAACTGCCAAATTGCTGGCAGCCGGCAGTCACCAGAAGTATCCTGCAGTACTGCATTGTAACCACTGCGCCCCCGCAGCTCAACAACATCTCCTTGCTACATGGTTTCAAGGAATACTACTTTTAATGTATAGCATCTATAGGTTTCAGCAGGAACACTCAAAGTCAATTCCAAAGAACAGGTCATTTCGAGAGTAACAGGTTTTTGGATCACATCTATGAAAGGAAAACGTGGAGATAAAGCAAGCTTTCTATAGATTTTAAACTCGGCCCCATTCTTGGTCTCTTAATTCCTTCCGTTGGAGCTTCCCCGTTTGGGATTTTGGTAGCTTCTGGACAAATTCCACCTATTAAAGACAGAAATGTGCAAAACAAGAGCCATGTAGTGTAGATCTTGATGAGGTTGTCTTTCCAACCTTGAGTACTGATCAGTGACGAATACTCTGGAATCCATTTTTTTTTCAACTCAGTGCCTCTTTAAATTGGTTGGAACATCAACGCTGAGACTTCGATTGCTAAAAGAAGGCAAACCAATTTTCCAGAGAGGATGCAATGGCCAACGTTTCCTATCACGAAGACCAGTCTCATTTCTTTTCTTTTTTTTTTTGAAGTAGCCATTAAATCAGAAAAATATAGCAAGTGACTAGGTTTCCAAAGAAGGGAGATCTTGTCATTGGATTTTGAAACGATCACTAGCAGAACAATCGTTTAAAGAGAAGCAACTCTTGACATTTTATTCATTGTCATTCATAAAGTCAATTGTTAATGAATGGACCTGTATCATGTCAATATTGTCAACATTATTATTGAGGGGACTAGATATGTCTAGTTCAACAAAGAAAAGCAGTAGGGGTGATAGGGTAGCAGTCTTCCAATTTTTGAGGGGTTCTAAAAGGGACAACTTATTTTCCAAAGTGCAAGAGGTCAGGACAAGAAGTCATGGGTGGAAGGAACAATTCATCAGTGGAATGACTTACATCTGGAAGCTGTGAGTGCTCCATCACTGGAGGTTTTCAAGAAGAGAATGGACAGCCATTGATCCAGAATTTTATGGGGTCTCCTGATCAAGCAAGGAATTGGACTGGAAGACCTTCAAGATCCCTTCTAAACTCTATTATTCTAATATTCTATTTTCAGTTCTGTACCATTGGGAGCAATAAGGATGCTCAGATTCATATTCACACGTTCAGGATTTTTTTCCCAGCACACTTCCAATATACAGTAGGAATAAATACTTGCCTTTCTTGGGTATTTGTAAGGAGCAGTCATTTTTTTCACATGTCCCTGAAGTTCCATGATTAATTTCTCCTTGTTGTGTGTTGCGTAGTCCGAAGACAACACCACAAATGCCTTTACTACCTAAAAAGCAGAGGTGGAAAATTCCCAAGTAGCCCAAAACAATGATTGGAGTTTTTTTTTAATGTTTCCTATCACTCCTCAAACTTTCTAAAATTCTCAGAAATTTAATTCCAGGGTGCATTTATAGAAGAAAATAACAGAATAACAGATATAAGGAATATAATATCATATATTCTATTTAGACCATCGTTCTTCCCAAGGTGAAAGGTTCAAGTTTTCATCTCAGAGGAATCTTACAGAGCTAGGACATGATTTAGATCCTAAGCACATGATCTTTACGATTTATATTGTTTTATTTAGTTTCCCAGTATGACTTATGTTGATTGCTTATTTAGTATCCTATGACTACACTTAGGATCTAGATATAATTGTGTTTTTATGATGACTATGATCATGATTTATCACTTATAGCTTTTATGTACACTGAGAGCTTATGTACTGAAGACAAATTCCTTGTGTGTCCAATCACACTTGACCAATAAAGAATTCTATTCTATTCTATTCTATTCTATTCTATTCTATTCTATTCTATTCTATTCTATTCTATTCTATTCTA